GGGTCGTCCATATCGAATCTGACACCCTGTATGTATAATATACTACTTTTCTAAGTTGTTGCCCATTTAAGAATAAATCTTCATATAATTTATTATTAATAATGAAATTATTTACAGTTATCGAATCGACAAAGCAATACAAATTTATATTTCAAAAAATAAAGTGCAGAGGGAGATTCTGGCTTATAAAAGCATAATTCTTGCTGTAAATGTTCATCGGCAAGCTATCACGTTGGTATCAACATATTCTGTAATAAATGTACCTATATGTGTAATAACATACTTTCATTTTTAAAGATTTTCCAACGATGTAATATCCAAATTTCAAATAATGTTTATGATTTTAATTGGATCAGGAGTGTTCAGTTTAAGTCTAAATATTTTTCTAGTAAGTCGTTGTTTCTATTTAAAACCTAACGTTTACTAAAGTGCCTCCTATTTCATTATATTGCTTTATATGTTAATAGTCTTAATAATCTTACCAGTCTTTTCACTAACAGTTGTTGAATCTTATCATTAGATTAAAAAGTTTATTTTGACTGATGATTGTATGGAAAGATTACTCAAAAAAACGGATTTTAGTATTATCAATATATCTAGTTACACTTTCAGAATTATCAGACTTTAAAATGCATATTCAAATTTTTAAATTATTTACAAATACGATTTTTAAATTCAATTTTTTAATATTAAATGAAAAGTGTAAATATTAAACTAAAATTTTTAAATATTAAATAAAAAGTAATTATAACAAAAGCTTTACTATCAATTGTACCAAATATTTAATTTGTAAAACTCCTTGGCATGAAATACCTAGTTAAAAATAAAAATTATATATTTTTGAAATTTATTTTTTAAAAATTTAGACAAAATTATCATCAATAATAATATCAAAAAGTATTATATGATAATTTATAAGAGGAATGTGAGAAACATTACACAGCTCTGTGTTAATTGAAATTTATAAATGATAAGTTAATAAATTTACCAAATTATATTTATAACTCTCAGGGGAACTAATCTCAATATTCGTATAGATTTTTCAGATTGTATTAACTAAATATAAAACTGAAGACTTTTATGTTAGTTTTTTATTTATAACGATAACTTTTGTATACATGTTTATCGCCAATCTTGTCGGACAACAAATTCTAGATTATAACAATCATGTATATATTACAACGTAAGTAATATATTTACTTTATATTATATCTGTACATTTAGAAGAAAAATTAATTACTACAAAAGTAAAAAGCAACGTAGTTACAATTTAAATTAATATAGTATACATATAATAAATGTATGTATGGCACAGGTTCATAAATATTCTTATTTTTCTTTCTCTTTATGCTGTTATCAATTTTAGATATGAAGTTAAATGGTACGTAACTCCTGTATCTGTGCAAAAGCTACTATTGTTTCTGTTGCAAAGAGGTAGCAAGAAATTTGGCTTGAAAGTTGGTAAATTATTTATACCATCCTTAGAAAGTTTTGGCATGGTAAGAAAAACAGATTATACATATGTCTATATATATTTTTTTTTAATATAATAAAGTTATATATTTTGCTTTTAACATGACAAAATTAAAACGAGCATAACATGTTCCAGCTAGTAAACGCATCCGTATCCTATTTTACTCTTATGTATTCAATGCGATAATCGTAACGTAATATACATACATCAATTATATAGTTCATAGTTTATAGTGATAGTTAAAAGCGTTCAATATACCTCATGTGTAAAAAAGACAAATACAATATGCGATATATAATATGGACAAATAGAGGTTAGAAGAAGAAGATTTTATATAACACTTAAGAGAAAAAGGTAGAGAGAGAGAGAGAGAGAGAGAGAGAGAGAGAGAGAGAGAGAGAGAGAGAGAGAGAGTGCGCGCGCGCGCGCGTGTGTGCGTGTATGTGTAAAAGATTAACTAATATAAAGCGTGGTTTACAATGGCAGCAGGAGTAGTGGATTAAGAATGTTGACTGTTTTACCTCAATCGAAAACACGTGATTTTGTCGTGATCTCATTTCCACAAACTCTAATTAATTTTTCATATATATTTATTGAAAAATCGCCATATTTTACTGAAAATTTTATCACAATTCTACTTTAAATACACTCTATTTTTCTCTATTTTTCGTATAAAGCATAAACACGTCTTTACACGAACCAACTTGTACAATGACTGAAACGAATAACAGTGTTTGCCCCTCGGTTTGTCCCTCGGTTTGGCCCTCGCGTGCAGGTAGAAAAGGGTTCAGTTGAGACTGTGGTGGGATGTAATCGTTTACAATGTTGTCACTTTGAGAGAAAACATTATTTTAGAAACTTTACTATCACACTATATATTTTCATAGCACTTTATAATTATAAATAATAGATAAAAACAAAATCCCTTTCTAAAAAAGACATGTTACCAGCGAATGTCGTTAATATCCAACAGTTGAGGCCTCTTTTCCGCGATGCCGATTGGTTTTCTTGAAGCGCGGTGTGCTTTAAGTTTACTTCTCTCTTATTGTTAGATTCATAGTAAATGAAGATTTGCGATTTAGAAATATACATTTGCATACACCAACTATTGAGATAAAATCTCTAATCTTAGTAATTAGAATTTAAATAACAACGATTTTTGTTTCGAAACACTTTCTCGGTCGTTAATTTACTCAATACGAATAAGTCCGCAGAATGATACGCAAAACGTAATAACAGTTACGGAACAAAGTAATGTAAAGTATTCAGTACCGAATTTTCAATTTCGTAGGCGGTACAACGAATTCTCAACGTTTTTTGTTGTTTGTCTCTCGGCGCGGTGACGTACGATGTTTTTGCATGCCATCGTGTACCTGAAGGTCGCCGCGCTATCAGTCGCTCGCCGAACGTCCAGCCGGCAAGCAGTAGCGAGAGTCGCTCCGTGCGTAGTATTACTTTTGCGTTATCGGTTTCCAAGACTCGATCGCGATGAATGAAGGGATAAAAACGCTATTGAGTTGTACACCTTTATCAGTAACAAGTAACGTTCCTTCATTTCTCCCGAATCAAAAATGCAAGTTGTTAGTTTGAGTAATTTGTATGACAGAAAGTCATGCGATATTTGTTAATAATATTTTGTGCGTTCGCGGTATTTCACATCGCGTACGGAAGTGCTCGAAATTTCGTGCGATCGATGATTTTCGCGAGTGAGTTTTGTGTGAGTGCAACAAGGAAATCTGAGAGGAGGAGGAGGAGGAGGAGGTTTGGAAGGCATCGGGAAACTTCGGAGAAATCGTGAGGTAAGTGTCTTACATTTTTATGTTATCTGTTACTTGTGCGAAATAAAGCTTCTGTTCTGTGTTTTTATTTGATTTATTCAAATAATTCGAACGAGGATTCGAATAAGTGTTAAAGACAAAACCATACATATACAGGGTGTCTGATGCAAAAGTAGCAATTTTGGAAATAGCGGTAGATTGGGTTAAACTAAGGAGAAATATCATATACCGAGGTACAAAGTAACAATAGTTATCAACATATAAATTTATACGTTTGAGCGAATGAGGATACAGGAGATGGTAGGCCGGACTCGGAAA